CGTCCCCACTCCCCCCTCGTGCGCCCGCCACGCGATGCCGCCAGAGCTGGATACGTCCTTACGAATTCCTCTGGAGGTTGTAGTCCGGTCCCCACTGCTTCTTCAACTCCAGGGCCTTGCGGATAGCCGCTCGGGCCGGGGTCGCACCGCTCTTCGAAGGAGCAGGCTCCGTTCTCCAGCCATCCGGCAAGGTGCGCTGGGTAGCACAGAGGGCCGGTCGGTTGAGTCCGCTGCGGGAGTCCTCCTCTTAAAACTGGATCGGCGCTACCATCTCGTCTTGCAGGAAGTTGTGCACATGAAAAAGAGCTGTGATGAGATCCGCGCGTCCTCTGAGCTGCCTGCGGAGAGGTCTCCACAGAATGCCCCAAGTCGAAACCAGGATGCCGAAGCTCTGCTCGATCTTGACACGAAGCTGGCTCAGGTGGAAGTTGAACGTGTCCTCGCCCGCCAGCAGTTGCCTCCCAGGGTACGGAGTCAGAACCTTCTCTCCGATGGGGTAGGTAGGCGGCGTCGTCACCAATGATTTGAAATCCGGCGGGCAAGCGGGCGACGGCCTTGGCGAGGGATGATCGATTCCATGCCACCCAGTCGTTCGTCGAGCCTGGAGAGATCGCCGACATTGCGCAAAACCGGTAGTCGGCGGTGCAAATCGCTTGCACGTTGATGCCGTAGGCAGACTTGCTGCCAGAGTAGTACGCGATGACGTTTTTGGTCTCTTTCGCACACGAAGCCTTGGTCTTGATGAACAGACTATCCACGGCGGCGACGACCCACGAGAAAACGCCATCGGTGCTCTTGTCCTGCATTTGTAGACCACAGACACGACGGCGGACAAGTAATACCGGGAGATACAAAATAATTAGTCGAGAGATACGTTGTGTGGGTTGGTGTCATCGGCGACGGCGCCATCACTAGCAAAGAACGGTGCGCATACCGTGTAAGCTGAGACTTGATGTTGTTTGCTAGTCCCGATGTCGCGTCAGGTACAGCGGTGAAAGGTACCAGGGCATCTTAAAGTCACGGAGGGGACTACAGTAAATTGATTCCACACTTTTTTCTCGCTGAAAGCTGTTGCGGGGCCGAACCAACATGGCCAGCATACACAATTGATGGCAGTAAAGTAACATATATTTGAAAAGGACGCCAAAAGCTGGCGAACCACCTGGGACCCGGGGGGTGTTTTTCGATTCGAAACATGCTGGCAACGACGACAACCCGAACTTGTACCCGCATTTTACCGGGGGCTGCGTATCATAGATAGGCCTCACTAAACTAATAAAACGGCTGGAGACGCCAGTCGTACAAAACAAAACGAACGATAGCGCGCGGTTGGTCAACATAATGCCGCCAAGAATAACCCTCACGGCAGCAGTACCGACCACCGCTAGGCCTCACCTTGAATCTGTTGGCGTTTCGCATGCATCCTTCCTCGGTCAGGGGGAAGTCAAATGCCCCAACCGCAGGCGTGTTGTTGATGGCATCGACCACCTCCCACAAGATCTGGTATGTGACCGCCACCGACAAGCCAAACATGAGTAGGACATCCCAGTAACTGGCGCCAGCCAGGATCCTCAACGCCACGGCAACGCGAACTTCCACAGCTATGGCGCCGTTGCGTGGCGATCGCAGTGCTGTGGGGTTTCCGAGCGACGCGCGGATAATTTTTGCAGGTCATGCGAGTGTCAGAGGTGGCATGTTTGCAATCGCCAGCACCTAAATAGCGACCTATGACGGGGGACGCATGCTCTCGACAAATTCGTCAGATCGCCGGCCCAGTCCACCTCCCGACTACGGTACTGAGACGGCTCTGTGTTAATCACCTACACACACGATATCTTGCACATGAGGAGCAGTGTCGAATGCTGTTGTGTCATTGCGGGATACAACATTCTGCATTGGCTGTGTTCGTGATAGTTGCTGCTGTGTGTGTCGGCAGAGTGACGTAGAACAACTTGATTGGACAGTTTGCGTTGCGGGACTGTCTGCGTTGAAGATCGTTCAGTAGCCACGTATTATCAGAACAGCAAGGAACGTTCTGTGGGAATATTCTTCGTAGATGGTGCATTACCCCGAGTGTCTTTCTTGTGGATACAGTCGTCCCCGCTTAAAAGACGCTCATCTTAAGTCAACTCCCCGCGATAAAGACGAAAAAAAAT